TTTGAGCAGGAACAGAGCAACTTTAAGCGGGAGCAGAGGCTACTGGAGTACAAGGGTTTGGAGAGACAATATTAAAAAATCTGAACATGAAATCGATAAACCATGCCCTCAAATTGATATACCACGCTCTTGAGTAAAGATAGGATAAAACCTCCATACAGATGATGGTCGCTATTTTTAAAAATAGTTTTGTTTTCCCTCCGCAAAAAGAACATGCCATTGTTGTTGGAAAAGCAAACATCTTCAAAAAGTCATTTAAACACACAAAGTAAAAATGCAGCCTTGTTGTGTATTTTGAGAATTGGACAATGGTGTTTGCTTCTTGTGTCACAAAATCAAAAAGCTTGAGTTGAGGTAAGAGAAAAGGAGGCCAAGGTTGGAGCTGAGAGGCTCTCGCCTGGCACCGGTGACGAGGCTGTGGGTGCTGAGCCACGGCTTTTTTGAGGTTTCACAAGACATTCTTTCTCTCCACTAGTTTTTCCTAACTGCTGTTTTTGGCTGCAGTCTCAGACTACTGGCCAGCTCGAGTGCAGAGATTTAATGTACGAAGGCGATGAAGTACGTTATTCTAATTATACATAGATAGATGGATAGATGGATAGATAGATAGATAGATAGAGAGATAGATAGATAGATAGATAGATAGATAGATAGATAGATAGATAGATACTTGATTTAGTCCCTAGTGCAAATTCATGTAATTTGTAATTATGACAAACAAGACAATTTACACCCAAGATGACTTTTTTGAATGTGACTGAAAATAATTTCTCTGAAAATGGACGTACGGAAAAGTGAGGAGTCAGATTCTATTAACACTGTTCTGAGGTCAGTTTCATCATCCTCAAAGTTTCATTGTGCTGATTTGCTTCGGCAGCGCCTCAAAACAGCTGGCAGGCGTTAAGGGGTTTCAACACTTAGCAGGTAATAGAAGTCATGCTAAACTTTATAATTTGCTATTTGACTGACTGTAAGTATCTTTAAGCGTTTATGTCTGTCTGGTGGTTCTTTGTGAAAGGTTTGAATTCAATCCCTGCTGTCGAGGCTGCAGATGTTCATGTGGCATATGGCAACATGTGCTATAGTAGAGATATTTTCTCACTAGCAATGGAGCCTAACAATAGTGATTTCAATTGGTCTGTCCTTTCTTCTAATGTAGAAGAAGATTCCTTGACAACTAATTGTTAGATGGCTACTTACTGTGTATTCATGGTCTCTAGACATGAATCCTAATGCACCATGATCAGGCCAAAATCTCATTAGTTAATTAGTAGGCTACATAAACAGGTTTAAGTTCAATTTTCAAACATTAAGTTATGCTCATCCTCAACTGATCGCCTTGATATCCCCCAGGAGGAACTGGAAAATGTTGTTGGGGAGAATAATGTCGGGACCTGAATCCAGATAATAAAACAGGAAGTGGAAAATATTTGTTTCTACTTATTTGTTATTTTACATTTTAGATGTGAGAATAAGTGTTGTGCTGAGTTGCATGTCAGTAATGAGAACTTTCTGAACAGTGAAAGTATAATGCAATACGGTCCTCTAACTTTCCCAAACTCAACATCGATAAAGATGATGTTTTGTGTAGATCAGAATCCACAAGGCAGAACACGGAGTATTGGTCTTTTATTGTAGTTTTGGAGGTAAGGTGTGGAATGGGGCTGGTTACGGTGATGGGGGGAGGGGGCTGTAAATAGTCTGGCAGGATAATGGCGGACATGGGCTCACAGACTGGGATCCACAGAGCTGGTCAGACGGCTGAGGCGAATGGGCAGGAATCCACACAGCTTAGGGGGCAAACAATATCCAAGCTGGCATGAAGAGACAGGAGCAGAGCGTGGCCAGTGGCAGGATAACAGGAGTATGGATCTGAAGCACGGCAATAACAGGATTACAAAAAGTTCAAAATGACACAGAGAAAGCAGGAAACAAACTGACCTTGGCCGTAGAGTTAGTACCAAAGAGACGCAACGATCTGGCGAAGAATGGTGAATAGATCCCGTCCTTAAATACTGCTGCTGGTTGTGGAGTTGCTTGTGTGATGTGGAGCAGGTGAGTATGGAGATTGGTGGGAGCTAGTTCATTTGCAACAGGCCGTATCATTACCAGAACCCCTTCAATAGAACATATCACTCCTGTCCTCAGACTGCACTGGCTTCCTGTTAAACACTGTACTGCTTCTCACTTTTAATTCACTTCACAACCTAGCACCTCCGTATCTCTCTGATCTTATTCACACCCACACACCTGCCCGTCCTCTGGATCTCTCTCTTCCACGAATCTCTCTGTACCTCCTGCCTGTCTGACCCACACCATTTTGTTCAGAGCCTTCCACAAAACATCCTATCTTCGAATCCCACCTCAAAACACACCTCTTCAGACTTGCCTATTCTGTTTAGTGTTCCAACACTATTTATTTTGTATTTAACTATAAATAAAATCTATAACTATTACTATTATTACAGTCCGTCTTAGCATCTATATGATAACTGAGAAAAGCCATACTCCTGTTATCTCAAGATAACAAAGCTCATTATCCTGAGGTAACGAGATATTATCAGGAGAAAACGATTTTTTGTTATCTAGAAATAACGAGATAATTATCCAGTTATCTGGAGATAGCAAAGCTTCCTTTCTCATTATAATGACTTTGGTAATCAGAGATCAGATGTGCCATTATGCAGATGGAAACTTGTAGTGCTGTAAACTTAAAATGTTTGGACGACGCACTGATCAACACATCAGAGAATATTTCAATCAAGGGCTAACTCAGGAAGAAATCACATCGTCGTTATGGTTACCCAGTGATGCACGTCAGGTGCAGATTATCTGGACGAGTGTTACTAGCGACTTACTGTATGAGGTTCAGTCAAAATCGTTTCCTCCTGATAATATCGATCTGTGTCCCGAGGAAAGGTTACTGAATCAAATTGCCTGATATACTGTAAATTAGACATGTTAATAAGACTTGTGCACCTGTATCCACCTGTTACAGGTTTTCTGACTTGCGTAGGCTGACCCTTCTCTTTTCCTTTGCCCAGTTAATGAGGACAGAAAAACAGCACTGCTCTGTAGTTTGTATGGGGATTCAGATCTCTGGTAAAACTTGAGCACTGTGGAGGCATTCCAAAAATGTCTGTCTAAACCCGAGGACTTTCAGCAGCAGGACAGCAAGTATGAAGGAAGAATTTTACCGATCTAGATGCCAAAAAAAAAAAAATGTTTTTTGCAGTAGAACTTTTAAACCCAGTGTTTCTCACTGAGATCTCAAAGAGCTCCTTTTGTGTGTGTGTGTGTGTGTGCGTGTGTGCGCGCGTGCTCTGTAACCATGGTGAACACTCCACCAGGTCACGAACACTGAGGTCAGCTTTAATGATATCCTCATTAGGATGAGAGGCAGAGAGACAGTTTAAGCTGTTAAGGGTCTTGAATAGGAATCATTGAGACTAATTAGTTTCTACGCAGCCTGTTCAACTCTGAGACTGACAGTCTGAAGTGGCTCTCATGGTCTCTGTTCTGCTGTGTGCCACAGTCTTCATCAGTGCCATGTGAAAACATGAGCCCAGCTCCTGATCACTCCTGTTGTTCCTCGAGTGGAAATCTTTCACATTCTTTCTCATTGCTTTCAGTCGGGTGTTTTGGTGTGTGGTGGTTTTGAGGATCCTGGGTATGTGGTGCTCTTTTAAAATCTACTAATTTCCTAGGTTATTCAAGCCTCAAGTTCAGCTCCACATTAAGTCTTTGTTGAAGGGTCCTTGTGAAAAGAATGTGTGAAATAGTGGCGTCTTATGATGGACAAACTTTATTGACTGAATTTGAAGTCCAGGCTGATTAAATGGGACAAAGTGAGCTCAAGCACTTTCACAATATATATTTCATTTTGACACATACATGTAAAAACAGATAAGAAACTGCATTCATTGATTTGTGGCCACTAGAGAGCAGAAGATCTGGAGCCCTTGCGGAAAAAATGAAATATCCTCTCTTTGTCGTCGACGGAGTAAAATGAGACTGAACATTGCACTTACTGTATATAACGGGTGGCTGCACTGCTCTGTGTCTACTGCATGTGTAAATAAGCTGTTTGATAAAATGTTAACCATAGCAATGTGTGGCTGTTTAAGTTTAGAGCGAGTCTCCGTTCGGGACAAACTGCAGTTGTTTTTGATACTCCTACTTACTTACTGGACAGTAAGTAAGAACTAATGTTTTAACAATGTGAGGCATGCTTTATTGTGGCACATCTCCCCATAACTGCCGCAGCAACATTTCCTTCCCAGTTTGAAAATTGGGATATTATTCAATTCAATTCAGTTCAATAAAATGTTATTTATATAACGACAAATCATAACTTTCATTCTCTCAAGGCATTTAAAAGAGTCAAGACCTTATGATAAGAAGAGCAACCCAACAATTCCCACCACTGTTATATGTAAATGTATTAACATGTAATTGAAGGCAAACTTATCATTTGAAGGTCCCATACTTTACACTTTTCTGGTGTTTTATTTAAAGTTTTGATCCATAAGAAGATATAATTGTGGAAGAGACACTTTGAGCCTCTCAACTGATTGACTGACTGTTTTCTGAGTGACTGAATAAAAATATAGCAGATTTCAGGTAAACACTCAGAGAAACCAAATCATGCAAGGTGGTGCATGGCGGATGGCCGTTACTGCTTTGTTGTGACATCACAAAGTTCCAGAAGTCCTGACGGCTGGTTTTAAAGCTCAGTTTCTGAATACAGGCTGTGTGCATTTCTCTGTGGACTGAGCGCTTTGATACTTTCACAGTATTAATATAGAACCTAGACCTGCTTTATAATCAAACAACACATGGGCATCTACCTTTAGACTATATGAGACCTTTAAAGGACGAAAAGAAAAGATTTTCTTTATCATTACTTCTATTTCATGTTATTTATAATTGTTGTCATTTGCATGTGTATTTCACACCTTGTCTTCATTCACCTCATCGCCCTCTGCCTCTCTCTGCAGCTGTTTGAGATCACGGTGCCGATCACCCAGGGCACCAGACCAGTGACCATCAGTGTGGCCAATCACACGCAGTGCAGCTGTCTGTCCAAACTGGACGTCTACAAGCAAGTCCACAGCATCATCAGGAGAGCCCTGCCTGAGTAAGTGTTCATACTCACTGCATCACTGTGTGTCTGTGGAGGATACATGTGTGTTCAGGATAGGAACTGCCTTTTCCTTTTTCCAGCAGAGGTCTTCTTATGGCAACACACACACACACACACACACACACACACACACACACACACACACACACACACACACACGCACACACACACACACAAAGAGTGTTTGGTTCTATTGTTACAGTGGTCACTTCCTGTGCTGTGTGTGTATACAGGGATATTATTTCAGGAAACACTTCCGATTCTGTCTTGATTAACTTCACAGTTCCATGAAATGTGTCTATGTTCCTCTGTGTAGACCTACATGAAGCTGGACTTCATGACCAGCTCCATTTCTTTCTTTCTTTCTTTCTTTCTTTCTTTCTTTCTTTCTTTCTTTCTTTCTTTCTTTCTTTCGTAGCAATAAGAAGACAGACAAACACTAAAGCCATCAGAAGATCAAGATGTAAAAGCTCATGATATGAGTAATGTCAGCCAGCTGGGGACACAATGATTTTTAGCCCACATTTGTTTAAATTAAAATATTAAAATATTAAGTAAAAATATGCCCCTTACTTACAATGTACCCCTGGATGTACAGACATCTGTCACTGGATACTACTTAATTTGATACTGATGAAACTTTAAACTCACTAACATCTGCCTCTAGGGGTCTCAATCAAAACAATAACAATGGATGGTGTTAGGTGACGTGGATCATGGGAGTTGTTGTCTTCACCACCATTACCGTAAGCTCCTCTCGGTTTGGATTCCTTCAGTGTCAGTGGTTCAGGAAATCAAACATACCTGCTGATTCTAACAGGACAGAGACTCAGGGAAGAGCTGGAGCTGAGATTGATGTTAACCTTTGTTTGATTTTGTCTCTGATAACTTATGAACCAGATGTTCAGCAGGTTTTTACCAGCAGCTGAATTATCCACAGAGGTGTCCTCCTCTCCATAACAAACACACCAGGGGATTAAAACCAGTAGAAACACTGAAGAAAGCAGTTTACCTTTAAAATCAGAGATTCACAGACGCTCTTCAGTGACACAGGACAGGACGTCTCCAGCAGCAGGGAGCTGAGCTGTCTAACATTTCCTCAGCTTGTTTCTCTGATAACTTCAGATCCAGACGTCCGACGACTAAAATCCTTCATCTGCTTCAAATATAGAGTTGAAAACAACCAAGGTGTGGGGCGTCGAGTAGCTCAGTTGGATGAGCATCCGCCCCATGTGTAGAGGCTACAGTCGCTGCAGTTGGCCCCGGTTCGAGCCCTTAGCTGCATGTCACCCCCCCCCTCTGCCTCCCCATTTCCTGTCTCTCTCTACTGCACTATCAATAAAGGCACAAAAAGCCCGAAAAAATAGATAAAAAAAAAAAAGAAAAGAAAACAACCAAGGTGTAAAAAGTGTATGTGGCTTAAAACTAGATAAAAGTCAATGTTGAGCTTCTGTCAGACAAACACACTGACACATGATCATAGAGGATATGATGTCATTGACCAATGAGATGTTACCATGATTAAAATCACAGATTTCTCTGGTTTGAGAATTGATGGAAACATTTGTGATAATGTAAGAACACAACTCAACCACACATAGAACATAGCTCTAGTTGTTTGTAGACATTTTAATGTGGAAAAGTTACAGATTACAACATTAAAATTTTGAAGCCTCTTTTTTCTATTATTTCTCAGTGGATTTATGGATGTGTATTAGTAATGGACCTCAGTTATGAGTCCAAGAAGGAATACACCATCACCTTATAAACATCTCACAGTATCTTTGCCTCACCTTCAACTCCTGCTCCTGGCTGTGTCCTGCTGACTGCCAATGTACAGAGTTACAGAGTTAGTTTAATGTGAATCCCATCTGAATGGAGCCATAGACATCAATGCTTTTCACCAGGATTGTGTCATTTTCCTACAAAACAGAACAACACTTTTCACATCTGTTTAGTGAGGCAGGTGTGTAGGAGCGTGTGTGTGTAGCAGCAATTAAAAAACAACATGAGGTGTGGTGTTGTATGACATGTTGGAAAGGATCTTTGTATGAATATTTATGAAGTATGTAGCTAATGCACCTGAAGCATTAATTTATTTTTATCAACTTCCCTATTCAATGTGAAAAATTTAAGGGTAAACCTATTTTTCACTATATGATCTTCTACCTCTTTATATGTTATATCATGAACTGTTATATAGTGAGTTAATGATTCAGCCACTCCTGTTTAAGATGGCTCCTCATTGTTGAAAACCATTGTTTATTGTTAATTTTCCTATTATTCTACACACAGCGGCTTTCAGAAGTTATCGTTTATATAGTTGCTTGGTGAGTGTATACTAGTTGTAAATGTGGATGAGACAAACACACGCTATCTTATACAAGGAGAGAGAGGAAGCGCCTCTGATCTCAGATCTTTTTCAAATCAGGTGAATGAGCAATGTGATGAGCGAACATCAGATCCTGATGCAGTGAAATGAAAAACCTCTTTGTGTGTACGTCTGTGTGGGCGGGGTCCTCGACCGGAGAGTAATGACCTGCTCGATGTGGAATGTGCACTTATATGAGCTGTATAGACCATCACAATAAATCTGAACCCAGGAGGGTCATTCGATGCAGACTCATACTGTGTATGTGTGTGTGTGTGTGTGACACAAGATTATTATTAGGATGTAACATCTAGGATGTGTAATATGCTGATGGTCTATCAATGAAATGGAAATCACAAGCATTTAGAAAAACTAAACTAACCAATTAAACGGGTTTATCCGCTCTATAAATACCCAGAGAATCCACCTCTCTGACAGTAGGCTTTGATGCAGGTGAGTGTCTGTGTGTATGTGTGTGTAAGTAAGAGGAGTAGGACCACTTGTGATGTGGAATGTTGATACATGCTTGTTTTGACACACACACACACACACACATACACACACACACACACACACACACACACACACAGAGCAGTGGTGTTAAACACAGTGTGTCAGATTAGGACAGGAAAGGGAAACGCATTGTAGAGATTTCCACACCTACAAATCATTCAACATGTAAGAACACACACACACACACACACACACACACACACACACACACGAGCGAGCGAGTTATCGCAGAGAGAGCCGAGGCACACATACACAGACACACACAAGTAAGCGTGAAGAACACGTATGTTTCACATTAGGTGAAGTGAGCGAACACACCAGTCACTCACCTTCTCGCCTCCTCTCCTCGTCTTTTCTTCTCTCCATCCTTTTCTTTCGCTTTCCTTATTTCCCTCTCAGCCGCTTATCAGTGTGTGTGTGTGTGTGTGTGTTACTGTGCCACTGCAGCTCTAATTAAAACCACACTGTGTCTCTTTTCATCGACAAAGTCTTTCACAGCTTCAAACAATTTGTGTGTCTGCAGACAAACCGCTCGCCGTCTGTCTCTGTGTTCAAGTTCTGAGTCTCCTTAAATGCTTCGTTGTAATTGGACATTTTGGTGTTTTATATAATTGAATCTGTGTGTGTATGTGTGTGTGTGTTTGTACAGAGGAAGTATATTTTTCTTGGCAGTTTGTAGAAATCCAAACAAGGTATCTGGTTTCTGATGTAAATCAGTATCAGGCTGGAATTTGTTTTCAGTAACTTGCATGTTTTTGAAAATATTTGTATATTATATTATTAAAAATGTGTATATTTTTGATGCGTTTGACTTAGTGAGTTTGGAGATAATGATTTAAAAGACAAAAGGCTTTAAAGATGATTGTGTGTGTGTGTGTGTGTGTGTGTGTGTGTGTGTGTGTGTGTGTGTGTGTGTGTGTGTGTGTTTGTGGGGGTTCTATGTAGAATGGGGCCTAGAAAAGCTGCTGTGGGGATGATACTTATCAAGCCGGGACACACTGACCTTCAACATCAAAAAGATACTCTCCTGTAATGCTGCCCACACACAGATCTGTGATCTGGTTCCTGTCTTAGGTCCTGTATCTAGTTCTATAAAACCAGCTCTGCTTGGTGTTAGATCTCTAGCTACCTAATTATTCTTAATGAATGAAAAATCATTAACTAGATATTTTACTTCTAACTGAAACCTGGTTAGACACGAACAGCAATGCAACTCTTATTGAGGCATGTCCATCTGACTACATCTCCCATCAGTCAGTGAGAAAGGAAAAGAGAGGGGGCGGGGTTACCATCATTCACTCAAAGCAGTTTAGTTATACAAAGCTCGACCTGGGTAAATTTTCATCTTTTGAATATCTTGCCCTCATGCTGTTTTCATTCTAATAATATACAGGCCTCAAAACAGTTGTCCCTGTTTCTTCCAGAATTCTTGCAGATGGCTGCTCTTAACATAATAATAATAATAATAATAATAATAATAATAATAATGATGATAATAATAATAATAATAATAATAATAATAATAATAATAATAATAATAATTAATAATTAATAATATCTCTATTTATAGCATATTTAGAGCACTTTTCTAAACCCATGTTACAAAGTGTTTTACACAAAGCAGCAGAATAAGACACACAGGTCATATAAGGCAACAGCATTGATGCAGAGCTCAACAAGTAACTTACTCATTGTAAGTGTCAGGACTGATGTCTAAAACTCATAGACAGGAATCTAGTTTCTAAAATACTGACAAATTTCATTGAGAATCTGTCTCTGGGGACTATGAGCGATCCTTGAATCATCATGATTCAACAGAGAACAACTCACATTCATTATGACATATCAGCTGATGAGTGTCATACTCATTTCCTGCAGAGTGACCAGAGACATAGAGCAAATGTGTGTGTGTGTGTGTGTGTGTGTGTGTGTGTGTGTGTGTGTGTGTGTGTGTGTGTGTGAGTGTGTGTGAATGTGTATAGGTTTGTGCCTCAGATCTTATGACTATATTGCAGTCTTCTACAGTTCTAATTTCAAAATCCAAATCTATTATTTCCTGTAGTTCTGATTCTGGGATATATTATGGCACATAATTAATAGGAGCAAATAA